TGTTTTGTTTTTGGGTTTTTGTGTGTAGATTTATATGTTCTCTGCTATTTCAATTGAGCACTTCGCTAATGACGATTTGATCTCTCTGTTCGATTAAGCTTCTACTCTTATCTGCTATTTCAGCTCATCACTTCGATAATGATGATTTGATCTATATGTTTGATTAATCTTCTACTCCCAACTTTGGAAAGCTTGTGTTGTGAACTTGTGGGATTATGATTTTTGGTTAACTGCACGATGATATGTTGGAGAAATTTTATGAAATACACCTCTTAAGGTGCAAATTTTCAAAACTACACCTATAGTGTGGAAATTTTCAAAAATACACCTTCGATGTTGGTTTCAGATCGACTGTGGAGAGGAGAGAGTCTCATGATGATGCGAACAGGGCTCAAGGATTTAACACAGGTTTATATGCTATTCTTATTGTATTGGCAATATCTGACTGGTTCACTTGAAGACAAATTGTGTTTTCTCTTTTATTTGGACAGAACGTTAGGTGAATCATAGAAAGCTTAATATATTGAATCTAATTGATGAGGCATAACAAAACCCACTTACGAAAGAGCTCGAGGATAGAAATTCACCAAAAACAATCTTGAGAAGCACTAAGAAGCCACCAAAAGCGTAACAACAACAACACGGTACGCTTTCTATTTAGCACAACCAAATTTCATTTTGTTATTTGATTCTTATGATTAGTCTTAACATTTTGTTATTTGATTCTTAAGATAGGTTTCTTATCCATGTAAAGGAAGGACTCAAGACTAACTGCATCTAAAGGTTTGTTCTTTAATAATGCTTTATTTTTATTTTTTTCATAGGGCATATTTTATAATAATTTGATTCCAAAATATATTGATGAGGATTTGGTAAATTTGCTTGATTTTCGAGTTTCATACAAAGTCGAAACAAATCATAAAGATTTTATACAATGAAACTTACTTGAGTTGTTTACTAAAAATCTAAATTTATTGTCATTTCCTTGCATTTTGATTCTTGAAAAATATAGTGATTTCTTATTCATCGTTAAGCAAATACAAATGTATTAATCATGTTTTCCAGACTAGAACCTCTTGAAATGTTAGATGGCCTTAAAAGGATATTTCCACTATGTGCTGTTTCCAAAATGAAACATAAAGGCACCCGGTATACTTTGGGATCCTCTATGTATTGAGCTATACATACAATATCTCATGTTTTGGTGTGTATACAGGTTTAGTACACGGTTAAAGAAGAAATGCAGTACAAGTCAAAAGCTATTTTTG